TAAATTTTATTATAAAATTTATAATTAATAAAATATATATAAATATATTTTGAAATATATTTTATTAAGAATTTTAAAACTTATTTATTTTTTATATAATTTATATTGAATATATTGAATACTTTAAAACATCAGAAAAATTCAGAAATTTCAAAATTTTTATAAACTATATAAAAGTTATATTATGATCATTTCATTACCGTCAATATAGCGAAATACATTATTAGAACATCTTGGCTAAATATAAATATAAACGAAAAGAGGGCGGAGAAAAAAAATATCAGATTGGTAGGAGGGAAACGAAGGGACAAAAGCGGAGATTTTTAATCTCCTTTCCCTTGTAAAAACGAAGAATCGCCCCTCGACTTCGTTTATTTATGCATTTCATAAAAACGGCCGACCGAGGTTCTATTATATTCGATTCTCCTCGAGTCTGACTACCTACTATCCTCTTCTACTGATCGTGAGTCTGCGCAGCTCTCTTCCACAGAGAGCTCTACGTTAATGTATAAATGAATAGAGTACTGGTGCTGTTACTCCCTCTACTACCTTCTTACTCTTACAGAGGGTGGTGCTGATGGTAGTAGCGGTGGCGGCTGCGGCACCAACGACGACAACGATGTCTGTATCAGAAGTGGGGATAGTACTGATAGTACTGATGCTGGTACACTAATACTGGTACTGGTACCGAACCTGCTGGTAACAGGAACGATGTTGCTGTTGGTACCCAATATTTAATAATGAGATTAATTACATTGCATTTATAAAATGCTAAATAGATCGACGAACCAGATTCGAATTCTTTAAAAATACGATATTTTTTCTAAATAAGTCTCTTTTAAATTAGATGTTTTCCATTGATTTTCACTTAAACATAAATCTTTATTACTATTTTTTTTAAAATTGCAAAACAATTTTAAAGAATGTTCCACAGATGTAGTAATTTTAGAATAGAAAATAGTATTTTGAAAATTGATGGAAATATGGAAATTAAAAATGTCTAAATTAAAAGAATCGAAACATTTCTCTTAAATTATTTTATGTGTGTATAAGTATTAATGAAAATACTAAATTTCTTAGAAAAATGTTCCTTTATAGCTTTATAATTGATCTAACTTTCTTCCTTTATCTTTTTGAAGATTGAGTATCTTTTTAAAAATTTCTTGTTCATTTCAAAATTGTTTAAAATACTTATAAGTATATGAAATAATTCATTTATACTGGATGAATTTTAAAGAATCAAACAAAAATTTATATACTGGATGAATTTTAGAGAATCGAATAGAAATTTATATAGCTGAAAAAAAACTTATAAAAATTTTTTTAACTTTGCTGACAAAAATTGAATTAACCAAAAGAATAATAAAATTTAGGATCCACTCTTCACTTATTTTGATTCATAAAAATTTTAAACTGGAATAGATATTAATATCTATATCAATAAGAAAAAATGTAAAGTTTTAGAAAAAAATTTGATACAATATTCAATATTTTTTCTAATATTTGTTTATTTATTACTTTTTTATTTTAATTTATACATCAAGATAAGCAATTAATATAAACAATATAGAAAAAATTTTTAAAATCTTCAAAAATTTTCAAAAAGAATTTTAGAAAAAATTCCAAAGCATATACGTTAATATTCGCTAAAATGCAATATTTAAATGTGATAGAAAAAGTAAAAGAGAGTGAATTAAAAAAAAAGTAAGCAAACAAGAAAGAAATAAAGAACAAGTTCTGGGGGATGAAATGCGGAACACAATGGAAATGTTGTAGAAATGATAACATCCGGTTGTCTGGCCCGTCCTGTTGATCTCCCTGGTAGCACTATGGTTTCATGTGCACCCTTATTGTAAGGGGTTGGAGGTGGTAGCGGCAGGGGGAGGACGTGGTTTCGTTGATTAAAATAACCTCGTCAGTGTAGTCGTTCTGTTGTACAACTAGTCGGGGATGATGAGTAATCGTCTGGCTTAGGAAATCGTCATGACAAGGGCATCGGACAAAACGGGATGGAGAAGAGAAAAGCTGCAGGTGACCCGTTCAACAACGTCAGATGTGAATTGGATAAATTGTAATAATATAAATTTATATTTTAATTATTAAATAAAAAATTATTAAAAATTATATGTATAATTAATCAATATCACAGCAAGAAATATAAGATAAAAGAATTTCAATATATAATGAAAAAAATAATATGAATTTAAAGAAATTTTATAAATAAATACAAATAAATTTGAAATACCTTATAAATTAATAAATATATAATTTATAATTAAAGTAAAATTTATTATTATTATACATATAATCCTAATTTTATCATAATTCTTTTATTATATT